AGCATATCCTGCAGCTGTAGCCAAATGCCATTTAGCGCTTGTCTACATGTAGAATAGAAAACCAAATTATATGGAATTGATGTAAATTTTGACACTTGTCAGTGTCATCCCTATACATTTAGTTTTCTACTCTCTCGCGTTTGGCTAAAGGCCCTGTTAAGAGACAACCTATTTGATAGGTTAGACAGCACCGCCGTCTAATAAACCCGAACGAATGTAAGAAAATAATTATTACACAAACAATGTGACTGCACATTTGGTGCGGTGGTTGGGAAACCGTCTGTAGCGGGTTTGATTCCCGCACGGAGCAACACTTTGTGTGATCTAGAAATTGTTGTTCCGGAACTGGGTGTCATGTGTATGTGAACTTTGATGCTTGTAAACGCACCCATGACACAGGAGAAAATCCTAGTGTGGGGCAACGTTTTTTAAAAAAAAAAATATTGGAAAAAAAGTCAATAAATGACATTAAAAAATGTAAAATTTAATTTTATTAATGACTAGCTTTTGCCCGCGACTTCGAACGCACAGTCCCGTTTTCTCTCGTTCCCGTAGGATGTTCAGGATTTTGATTTTTTTATAAAAAAAAATCGATAATAACTGTAGCAACGCAAATAGAGTCACCATTACAAACCAATACATCTCATCAAAATTTCTGACGACATTTTGTACATTGCTGTAAGTGTTTCGTTGTGTGAGTGAGGTTACCGGAGGCCCAATTACCCTCCCCTTCCCCAATCTCCCCAATTCCCGAATCCCTAACGATCCTCAGAGTCCTAGTCCCCAAAAGGCCGGTAACGCACTTGTAACGCCTCTAGTGTTCCAGGTGTCCATGGGCGACGCTGATTGCTTACCATCAGGTGATCCGTCTGCTCGTTTACCGGCTTATGCCATAAAAAAAAGAAAAAGTGATATTTAAAAATCGAACACCTACGTAATTCAGAGACAAGTACAATCGACAAATTGATTTGTGACTAGTAAAATGAATATAGCATAATATCACGCCGTTTATCCACGAAATAGTAGTCAGAGGCATTATGGAACTTAATGCCACTGTACAATGTAACACTCACTTTTCGCTATTTATATCATGGGTCCCATGTAATAAGGGGTGCGACTGGTAAAATGATTCAAGAATAATAAACATAGATTTGTTAGTTGGCAAAGCACCATGGCGTGTGGAAAATGTATGGACTCGAACGTAATCTATATATATAAAAGAAAGTCGTGTTAGTTACACTATTTATAATTCAAGAACGCCTCAATCGATTTAGATGAAAATTGGCAGGGAGGTAGCTTAGAACCAGGAGACGGACATAGGACTTTTTATAGAATACTTTTTTTTACTTTTTACCGAAAATCACGAACGGTTACGGGGCAAAATGGGATTGCGCGTACGAAGTCGCGGGCAGAAGCTAGTATATTTTATAATATAATTTAAGCCTATTTAACATTAAGGTTTTATTTGTGTGCAGTTCAAGTGCTCGAAGACTTCCACGTTTAACAGCACATCGGGTTTTATAATTTCAATATTTTTGACGTGACAACGTCTTAAATTAGGCTGGGAGTCACTTATGAAAAAGTGTAACGCTCGGTAACGTTACGATGAGTCACCGAACGAGAGAGAGGCCCGCCGAATGCCTTGCGTCTCTCTCCCACTCAACTATGATCGGTCTGCCGCGCGCGCAGCACTAGAGAATTAGGCGCATTGAATCGGCACATGCTTGTGTCTCTGTCTTTGTCTTTCTCGAACATTCTTGGCGTTGGAAAAACAAGAAAGCGTCATAATACAAGTTCACACGTGTGGTTAAAGTATCGTCAGCTGTGTCTGTAGTGAAAATGTGGAGTGCTTAGATTCGTCATTTACAACAACTACAACAATAAAGGTAAATAATTGTACACTGATATTTCACTATCGTAAACTATGATTGATTGATTAATTGTTAGATTGACACAAAAGTTGAGAAACTGAGTTTATGTTGTCACGTAAAATCTTCGCCCGTAAAAACGACTTTACAGGCAACCATTTTTTTAAATAGGACACCTCACAATCAGACACCTCGAGGAAATCAGATTTCCTTTGTTACTATTTTTTATATTTGACGGGCCGACGTTTACCCACTCTATCTCGCCTGATGGTGAGCGGTAATGCGGTCTACGTTGGAGGATGTCGACCTATAAGCAACCTATTTACTCGGGCCTTGAAGACACCTAGGTTAAAAAGTTATTGACACAGTTATTTTGAAGTATCAAGACCTATCATAGACTTTAGCTATAATAAGGTAGTTTCCAGGGTAAGAAAATTAAAAATCTAATTAGTCCGTCAGTTAGATAATGAACAAATATTGGACACGTATTTTTTATTTTCTCGTATAAAGTTACCATACTTAAATAAAATGGCGTTAAGTTTAGGAGTGATAGGTAATTACGTCAGAACGTGGTAATACGTAATAGGTAATTACGTCATTTTGTAGCACGCTGTGACGTCACGCGACATTTCAAATTGATATATCGTCGTATATAAGAAAAAATACGTGTCTAATCTTTTAAAATAATCTACTTATCAGACAGACATTAAAATAAAATTTAGGAAACTACCCTATTAACAATGCTAACAAGAAATACAACAAAATTTATTCATATGTACACCAAACAATATTCCCGATAGTACATTTATATTTAAAACTGCAACGCAGGAGGTATTAAATCATTTTCACGCATACTGAATATTAATAATTCTGTTCATACTAGCAGGGGTGCTATGGCGTCCCATTATCTGATCTCTGCGATAAGTTACCGCTGTATAAGATTTTATTACCCTTTTGTTTCCAGTTTATCTCGTTCATTTTGTACCTTCAGTTGGTTTTGAATTTTCAAGGAATGTTTGTATCTGAATGTGTGTATGTATTTATGTATGTCCTAGCCGTTACCCGCGACTTCGTTCGCGTGAAATTATTCATATTTCTTGTTAGTTTATACTTTTTTGACGCGATAACGTGTTGATTGTCGAGGCGTATTTGAGAGCTAGTATGAAACGGAACGTTTATTGTCTACTCAAGGGCGCGACTGCGGATTGTCTGTCAGTGTCATCAAAATGAGCTAATTAATAAAACGAAATAATCTCCGTAATCCGAATTTTGCGGATATAAATTGTCAACTCGGAATCGATATTTTTTTATGTTTTTTAATAAAGTAAGTTTCGATCGAGTCTATCGTACCCCTTGACGAAATTATTAATGTAGATGTACTTATGTGTATTTGTTATTGATTTTTAAAAAGGAGCTTTTCAATTTGACCCGTATATATGTATGTATATTTTTTTATGGAATAGGAGGCAAACAAGCAGACGGATCACCTGATGGTAAACTATCAGCGCCGCCCATGGACATCACCAGAGGAGACACAGGTGCGTTATCAGCCTTTTCAAAAGTACTGGCTGTTTCCCGCGACTTTGTCGGCGTATAATAATGACTTTTGGTAAATTTTAGATTTTTTAATTAGTCTTCTCTAAATTTAATAGAATTGCTGTGTAACAAATCTTATCAGAATCGATTTAGTTATATTTATTTACCGATAAATAGACTATCCAACACAAAAATTATTATTTCAGATTTTCAATGCATATTTGTGCGTCATTATCTCATGATTGGCTGAACCGATTTTGATGTGGTTTTCAAAAAAGTGTTTGTTACTCTTAGGAGAAAGGTTTGGTATATTAATTTACTGATCTCAAAAAAAGATGTGGTTGAAATCGGTTTTTGTAGACTGTCTCGTTGACCGAGTGGTCGCAAGTGCGACTGCCAGGCAAGGGGTCTCGGGTTCGATCCCCGGGTACATCTACATCTACACTAATAGTATAAAGAGGTAAAAATAGACATTTTGTATGTTTATTTGTTTAAATGTAATTTCCTGCGAAACTACCGGACCAATTTGAATAATTCTTTTACCGTTGCAATCCTACATAATCGATGATGAACATAGGCTATATTTAATAACAGAGAAAAAAGGGAATCGTGTGAAAATTTCGATAATGTAACCCGAAGTATGAAAATTCTACCAAAAATCTCCTTATATTGCTTAAGCCTTTGACTGCCAGTAGAAAACTGATTTCAAGGACTAATAATAGTATTTAGCTGCATCAGAATCAGAGATTTTAAAGAATAAATACGAATTCAATTAACTGAATACATTTTATTACAATAACGAGAAACAGCTAGTTATTGGAATAAAGGTGAGGAATTTCTATTGTTGTGTTCTCATAGTAATACAATGATCGATTCTGACTAATATACAATACATTGTCATAGATAATAATAATGGATCAGTAAAAATATTTTGACTTTTTCTTAGAATATTATTTTTAATATATTAAGAGTTCATTCTTCACGATCTACAATTTAATAAATTCTATAGAACAATATGAAAATATCTATACATAAATATTAAGGCTTCGGTATTAGAAAAAGTTTGCAAATTGTATGAACAAAGGCCAGACGCTATTGTTACTTCGACCTTTATAAGTTTTCGTACTTAATTATAAATGTAATATTGTTTTGTTGAATATTTTTAGAATAAAAAAATAAAAACATTTTTTGACGTGACAACGTCTTAAATTAGGTTGCGGCTGGGAGTCACTTATGAAAAAGTGTAACGCTCGGTAACGTTACGATGAGTCACCGAACGAGAGAGAGGCCCGCCGAATGCCTTGCGTCTCTCTCCCACTCAACTATGATCGGTCTGCCGCGTGCGCAGCACTAGTTCATTCAATTCCTTGTTCCTATTGTGCAATTTAATTATATTCATATCAATAAATATTCTACCGAGAAAAAGACGTTGTCACGTAAAATCTTCGCCCGTAAAAACGACTTTACAGGCAACCATTTTTTGTAAAGGTTTTCAATTAGTAAAAAAGAAGTATTAGTACTTATAATATAATAAACAAAATTAATAATTATTAAAATTATATAATTATATAATTACATTTTTATATACATGTGTCTTTCAAGGTCGAATTCAAAGACAGAACAGTTCTCGATAGAAATAATAGTATGTAACTATTCGTTTCAAAATAAAATAAGACGCACTATACAATACATTCAATATTTACACTTCATTGCACAGTTATGATAACATTAATAAATGGCGTTTCACTTCTTGCCATAATTATTTGGGTATACCCCTACACCAGAATATGCAGTAGGATATCCAGGATACTGGCTCCCATATCCACTCAAACCAGCTCTCGGATACGCAGCACCTTGGATCGGCAAAATATTCGTTCCATACCCGTGATGAAGACTCTGCGCATAAACTTCAATCGCGAATTTGTATCCTCTTAGTAGTGATGGACTCTTCAACGCGATTGTCACAGTTTTGCTCCCAATTCCACCAGCTTCTATATATGCTATGCCATCTTTCTCTGGTCGTAAGTCAGTGATGTACACTGCATCTATTAGCTCGTGGTTTGGTGAACTGATCAGCACATCGTCTTCTCTCTGCCATAACGCTGGGTTTGCAATCTTAATAGCACTGTATATTTTCTTTGAATATGGTGTAGCAAATCCTAGTCTAATATCATTGGATTCCACTGAAGTTAAATATAATAATGACACTAATAATGTTACTTTGAAAAACATCTCTGATATTTGTGATATTGAAGAAAATTTTAACATTGATAACTACGCAGCTGTAAGAGCACAAATATTAATGTATCAGGAAAAGTCATTGCTATATATATTGTAGGCAAATTAGCACAGATGTCGTATCTTCTAGTTCACGATAATTTACACATTTCTTTAAATGGATCAGTCGTATATGTGTTATAAGGAAATTACGTCATTTTATGTTATACGTGCTAAATCATTTGTATTGTAGACCTGAGTAATAGTATCTTGCATAACAACTATTGTTTACTATACTACCATTCATAGATATTGTTTTGCTGTTGATGCATTACAATCATTTTTAGTTTCATCTTCATCAGTATCAATAGCGAAATGGGTTTCAGGATTGTCATTTTTAATTATATCACTCTCGTCAGCATCACGTGTCACGATTTCTTCATTGGAAGTCCCGATTCAAGTTCCAAGTTGATAAAGGGAAATGAATTAAAACCTGCAATTTGGATAAGATCTGATATCTTATCCGTGAATTGTTCTGGAAACGATGTGATAAGTTCTGTACAGATCATGGATTTAATACCTGAGAAGTTGAGTGAAGCGCGTTTAAAATCTGGTGGGATCGGATCCAAGTTTGTGGTGATCGAGTTGCGCAGTTCAGATTATGAAGGACTGCGTTTTGTGGTTCGAATGTTCGTATTCCCAAGTTCGCTTCGGCATCGGTATATGAAAATTTAAGTGGTTTTGTGTTTGTGTTCTGTTATAATTAAAGTGTGACTCTAGTTTGGTTCTTTGTATCATGGTTTGTCACTACTTTGATTTGATTAGCGTCTTTTACGTGGAACGGGTTTCCCAAATTTCAGATTTGTAGTGAATTAACTTATTGTGAACCTGTTTAAAAGGTAATGTACTAAAATTTTTGGAAATTTATGATTCTGAAAAAGTAATTTATTGTTTCTTTTGTAACATTCGTTTACAAACTGTTGTGAAAATAAAAAAAAAATAATGTTGTTGTTTTATTTTATTTTTGTTCTATAGTGCAAACCAAGGTTACAGTTAAGGTTTTAAGATTTTTTATTTTATTTATTTGCATTCACGTATATACGGTGAAGGAAACCTGAACTTATAATTTCTAATTATAAGTTTAAAATCGCCAACCACATTGAGCAAGCGTGGTGATTAATGTTCCCCTTCTCCGTGTGAGAAGAGGCTTTGCTCAGCAGTGTGCATCTAGGTATAGGCTGTTGATGATGGTGATGCATTCATTTATTGGGATAGAATAAATCCAAGCAATCCGTGTGGATTTTAATCATTAACTGCATATGGTACAAAACAATGAGAATAAAGCTAAAAAAGTACACTACTACAGCATATTTATACCGGAAAACCTTAAGTATAAAGTTTCAATTGCAATAAAATTCGTCCTCATCACCAAAATATCGTACACGACATATAAAACCACTCACTACATCAGAATATCTTCGTCTCATATTTTTCCTCTTAAAATCCCCCTATCGAGCGATTGTAAGAATAGTCGACACAAAACTAGGCATAAGATATGATTTATTATGTTTGCTTGTCTCCAACTGATACAGAGGTTACTCCAACAAAATAGAGATGTGTTATTCAGCTACTGTGACTCCAAATAACCCGTATCTTTTGTGTTTAGGACCGTAACAATAAAATAAATGTATGCGGGAGAGTGAAAATTCCAGACAATTCCTTGTTTTCAATGCAATGGTTTTTTGTATGAAGAGAAAAGGGGTTTCTTTATGATTTTCTTAGTCCGTTAGTGTCTTAAGAGTCGTGTTGTGTTTGGCTTTTGTTAAGAGATTTTTACAGAGCCGTATTCTTGAGCAAACTAGGTAAGTTGCAAGGGCGCCAAGTTACAGAAGGCGCCACGAGACGCGCACCCCCAACTGCCTATAGAAAAACGGTGTCGCCTAAAAATTAGAGGCGTCTATGAGTTGCTGGTCTAGGGCGCTCTCTAGGTTTAATTCGTATCACCATAATCCGTCTCTGGATTTATGCGTGATATTTTTCGGTCTCCTGTCCGTCATTTTGACGAAGGATTATTGGGTACTATACTGTGTATTCGAGGTCAGTCATTCAGATGTGAGTTATGCTTTTTGAATAGAAGTGTTTCGCATTGTTAGAGAATGTTTCTTGAGACAGTTTTTTTGAGAAATGGAGATCGAGTTAGGTTCTTTATAGAGATGTCATGTTTTTCTTTAGTAACAAGTACGACGTAAGTAGGTACGACATACTTTTCTGATAATTTTGAGAGTTTCTTAAAACAAAGGGCCATGGAAAATGTTATTGACTTTTTTGGGGTATTCAAATCTATATAGTTGCGTAAATCAATAATTAAACTCAATTTGAAATCTATAAGACTTAATCTCAAGTAGGATAAACTATTGTTGTGCTCGTTCTCGATCCTTTGTGCTCAGTAGCTCACATACATAACTACTCGAATAATAAAACAGAAACAAAAGAATGACATCACAATACTGTATTTACAGTTGGCTTAAAAATAAATAATGTGCATATCAATGGAGTTGACTCAATACATTTGTGATATTAAATCGATAAATCAAGGATGCTCTAAGCACCACATTAACTTTGATGCTAACACAAATATTATTTGTATAGAGTTGGTAATACCACTTAAAATTACTTAGAAACGAGGAAGATTTCTTGTGAAAATGCTAGAAAAAGCCAAGACTTATTATTGATATTTTGCATTTGGTAATAATGATTTAAATGATTAATTATAGGTGCCTCAGATAACTCATAAATTAGTTATATTTTATTAGTTCGAAAATAGAGCCCGTAATCACTATAACGAACAAAGTAATCTAAGTAGGTACACAGAAAACATAGTAGGTACAGTCAATTCTACTAAAAACTTATTCAAAACCAACTTCATCTGTATCCCATTAGCAATTAGATTGAATTTAGTATGTCATGTTACCTATACCTACTTGACATGAGGTGCACATCAACCTACTCAACCAGGCTTTCGTTAATAGAATTTTAACTTTAGTCTTTTGTGATAAGGTCGTGAATCTCTTGTAAGGATTGGTGGAGGTCGATGTGCGGTTCAGTACTAAGGTTAGCGTTTAGCATAGTGTAAACAGCAGGTGAAGTAACAAATAATTTAGTTCACACTAAGTTGCAGCTTACAAAGAGAACGCCGAGGGCTACCTTCCACACTTCAGTAGAAGTTTGTAAGGAAGTTACGTAGTTAGATTTCTGAGTATGTTAAGATAAATACACCGACAATGATTAAATTATAATGGCTTTTCATGTTACGCTTGTGTTTCTGTAAAGTAGGACGAATTTTGTAGGTGTAACATGTTTTTTTATGTCATTTTGTGATTGCCAAAGGGACAAGTTTGAGAGCTTTAAGGCATTTTTGGAAACCTAACATAAAAAAATGCTATATATTTAATATTCCACGCATTTATTTTAGGTTTATTGAGAGTAATGTTCATCAAAATTTTTTCGTGTACCTACTACTGAACATATACATCTCCAAAATAGCACGTGACATAGCTCAACCTTTATTTCTTTGGCCACCTTGCCGGTAATCACTCCACCTATTCTAGCTACAGTTTAAACTTGGCCATATCTCTGACTATAGCATCAAATCAATATCATCATCATCAACAGCCGAAAGACGTCCATTGATGGACAAAGGCTTTCCAGTCTTCATAATCACTAAAAATATAAAAGCAGATCATTTTTTAAGTACGGGACAAGCTCGCCACAACCTCCTAAAACCGCTGCAACTCCTATAAACCAGGATCTACAGTAAATATAAACATGAAATTACCGGAACACTGAACACATACGTCCGGCGCATCCCAGGGACATGAATAACAGTCTTGGATCCTTTAAAAAGCAGAAAATATTAAAAGAGGAGAAGAAAAAAAGAATAGTTCACTCTATAAAAACAGCTCTATATACTTCCATAACCAATCCAAACGCGAGTGATATTTTTATTTCTACTGTATTCAAGGGATTGCCAAGCGGCATGTTATTGCACCCCACTGGGGGGGCTCACAAATGTACAAATATAAAAATATTTCCACTACCCCTACTGTTTTGGAAGTTAATTCGTTTTTCCGAATCTGTCTTATTCTTATTTGTTGTTGGGTCTCTGCCAAGTGTATGGGAACGGGGTGTCGTTGTGTTGTGTTTAAATAAATCTTCTTTAGTTGTTCGTTCACGCCCTTTCTTCTTTCAAAATGAAGTGAGTTCTGTGTTGGTTGTGAGTTATTCTCTACTATATTGACGTTAGCCGTTGAATTTTTGGCGATAGTCTTCTTTTAATATTTCTTTGTTACAAAGTTAGACGTATGAAGTTGAAGTCGAAATTCTCTTACGCTGACTCAACTCAATATAAGATCAATTAATTAAAAATATCATGAGATGAGCCGGACATCGCTCGATCGGACACCACTGCACTGCGATTCCCAAGCCAGACTTTAATTTTGAAGTCTTAGGAACCGCCTCATTGGGCAGTGATCTTTATTTAAAACTATTCACAACCGATAATAACAATGTTAATGTCTGAACAATTGAATGTCATTAAACATTTACAGAAAAATAACACAACAAATATGTATACTTGATTCTACAAACCTACTACCACAAATGTAAGAAAACCATAAAAAATATTTACACCATAATACAGTACCATATAAACTGTCTCAATCAAGCTAATAAGCCGGATCCCAGCATTGAGAGCGACCACATAAATCACTATAGCACATAGAATACAACTGCGGATGAAAAATAACTCTTACATACAAATATTAGATTTATGATATTTGTACAGAACTGACGAATGGCTTCTTTGTGTTGTGAATAGACGATACCAGTATATGGAAGTTAGATGCTTATGTATTGTATTTTTATGGTTGATATTAAATATAATAAATACTTTTAAAGATTTCCTAAAAAAGACTTCACAAAAGGGGGTACTTAAATGATTTTTGAATGAAAAATTTAATTCTAAATTCAACCTAGACGACTTTTTATTATCCTTTAAGTAAATTGTA